TTTTTTTTTAGTGATTTTATTCCACTTTCCTACTGAAAACTCAGCTTTATTTCTATTAACTTATTCATAGAATATGAATTATAATATCATTAATACAATTATATTATATATCACGAATATTCTTAGTATTAAATATTATTAATATTATTAACAGTATATATAATTAGGTAGTATTAATATTATATATATTAAGAGATATAATTTTAATTAATTTAAATTTAATTTTTCAATTTAATTTTAATTACAATACTCTGATATTTCTATTTTTATTATCCTATCGCTTGTCCTGCTGAAATTCTCCCCAAATTTTCCTCCCCTTCTCCCACCTCTGGGTCACATCTGGATCTCACCCCTCGCTTCCCTTTCCGTGTGGGAAGCAGAGCCCTCCTGGAATTCCTGCTGGAGGGAAAAATCACCTCTAAATTCTATTTTTTTTTTTTTAATTTTTTATTTTCTCTCTCAGTCGGATGAGAAGACGTGCGAGGATCTGGCGGAAGGCGGCGGCTTCTCCGCGTCCCCGCGGCCCGGGAGTGTCCCCTCCCCTTCCTCCCCTTCCTCCTCATCCTCCTCCTCATCCTCCTCCCCCACGGCCTCGCTCTTCCTCGACAGCCTCACCACGGAAGGTGGGACCCGCAGGTGACCCCATCCCGATACCTGCACAGGGAATCCCCATCCCTGATCCCGGGACAGGGAATCCCCAATCCCCGATCCCTGCACAGGGAATCCCCCATCCCTGATCCCGGGACAGGGAATCCCCAATCCCGGGACAGGGAATCCCCCATCCCCCATCCCTGCACAGGGAATCCCCCATTCCTGATCCCTGGAGAGGGAATCCCCCATTCCTGAGCCCTGGGAAGGCGATCCCACATCCCAATCCCTGGACAGATATTCCCACATTCCTGAACAGGTCACCTCCATCCCAATCCCTGGATAAGCAATCCCCCATCCCTGAGCCCTGGGAAGGAGATCCCTGGACAGGGAATCCCCCATCCCTGATCCCAATCCCTCAGACAGGTGATCCCCCACTCCTGATCCCTGGGAAGGAGATCCCTGATACCTGGACAGGGAATCCCTCATTCCTGATCCTTGGGAAGGAGATCCTTGAGCCCTGATCCCTGGGACAAATGATTCCCCATCCCTGATCCCTGGGACAAATGATTCCCCATCCCTGATCCCTGGACAGGGAATCCTCATCCCTGATCCCTGGGCAGGTGACCCCATCCCTGGACAGGGAATCCCCCATCCCTGAGCCCTTCGAGGGTGATCCTTGACCCCTGATCCCTGGGACAAGTGATGCCCCATTCCTGATCCCTGGAGAAGGAATCCCCCATCCCAATCCCTGGACAGGGAATCCCCCATCCCTGAGCCCTGGACAGGTGATTCCCCCCATCCCAATCCCTGGACAGGTGATTCCCCCCATCCCTGATCCTGATCCCGGACAGGTGATCCCCCAACCCCCATCCCTGATCCCAATTCCTGGACAGGTCTTTCACTGCCTCAAAAAGCAAATCCCAATCCAAGGAAATGCCAGGCCCGGATGGATTCTGGAGCAGAATCCTGGAATGGTTTGGGTTGGGAAGGGACCTTAAATCCCATCCAGTCCCAAGGGCAGGGACACCTCCCACCATCCCGGGGGCTCCTGGTCCAGCCTGGCCTTGGCCACTTCCAGGGATGGATCAGCCCCAGCTTCTCTGGGAATTCCATCCCAGCCCCTCCCCACCCTCCCAGGGAGGAATTTCTTCCATTTCTCCATCTGTGAAAGCACAGCAGAGATCCCCGGCTCTGTAAAGTTCTGCAATCCCAGAAGGGTTTGGGTTGGGAGGGACCCCAAAGCTCATCCCGTGCCAAGGACGGGACCCCTCCCACCATCCCAGGGCTCTCCTTGGGGAAGGAAGGGCCAGGAGGTGACTCCTGGGGGGGCTGAGGCACGGTGGGAAGAGCTTGAGAGATTTTCCAGCTTTTTTTACCCATTTGTGAAGGTCAGGAGGCAACGGAGCCAGGGTGGGGAGAATCCCCAGGATCCTAAAGGGTCAGTCCTGGAGAGAGGGGTTTGGGATTTCACTGGGTTTGGGATTTCACTGGGTTTGGGATTTCACTGGTGGCTCAAGGCCGGGAATTATCGCCCTTTTCTCGGGAATTCTGCTCCTTCCAGCTCCACAAAAAGCCCCTGGAGCTTTCCTGGAGACCCCCGATTTCCAAAGCTCCATAATCCCATTAAAGGCGGGCCCGGCTCCGCCGATCCTGGCGCAGGTAGCGCCGCAGTTCGGCTGCTTAATAGTCCCTAACGCAAAGTGCTAATTAGGATAATTGGAAAGGAGCAATTAGCAATTGTCCTTCAGCGCCGGGAAGGAGCTGGGTGGGGGAATGGAGCTCCTGCCTGCCAGGGCTGACTCTGAAAAGGAGCAATTAAAGACAAGGAGGGGTTGGAACTCCACCACGGAGATTATTTTCCAGCCCATCGCTGGTTCTTGGAAAAAAAAGAACAAGAGGCTCCGTGTGACACAGCGAGGCATGAAGTTAATTTGTGATCTTGGAAGGGAACAAACAGCAGCTGCAACACGAGAGAGAGAGAACGGGAGAGGAGCGGGAGAAGAGGAGAGAGAACGGCAGAGGAGCGGGAGAGGAGCAGAGGAGAGAGAACGGGAGAGGAGCTGGAAAAGGGAAGAGGAGCTGGAGAGGAGCAGCTGAACCAGAGAGGGGACCTGGTCCTCAGTGTCGTCCCCAGCCGTCCCAGATCCCTGGATCCACATCCTTCCCAGCAGCCCAAATCCCTGGATCTGTGTCCTGTGCAACCAGCCCAAATCCCTGGATCCACATCCTTCCCAGCAGCCCAAATCCCTGGATCTGTGTCTTTTCCAGCCAGCCCAAATTCCTGGATCTGTGTCCTTCCCAGCCAGCCCAAATCCTGGATCTGTGTCCTTCCCAGCCAGCCCATCTCTCTGAATCCTCATCTTTCCCAATCCCCCCCAATCCCTGAGTCTTTGTCCTCCCCGGCCAGTCCGGTTCTGTGGATCCACATTGTCCCCAACCAGCCAAGATCCCTGGATCCTTCCCACCAGCTCAGCAACATGGATCTGCATCATTCCCAGCCAGCCCAGATCCCTGGATCCGTGTCCTCCCCACCACCCTGCTCTCCTGGATCCCTGTCCTTCCCAGCCATTCCGGTTCTGTGCATCCACATTTGTCTCCAAATCCCTGGGTCTGTGTCTTCTCCAAGCAGCCCAGATCCCTGGATCCACATCCTTCCCATCCAGCCCCAGTCCCTGGATCTGTGTCCTTCCCAGTTCTGGGGATCCACACTGTCCCCATCCAGCCCCAATCCCTGGATTTGTGTCCTTCCCAGCAGCCCAGCTCCCTGGATCCTCATCTTCCTCACCATCCCACACTCCTGGATCCTCATCTTCCTCACCATCCCACTCTCCTGGATCCTCATCTTCCTCACCATCCCACTCTCCTGGATCCTCATCTTCCTCACCATCCCACACTCCTGGATCCTCATCTTCCTCACCATCCCACATTCCTGGATCCTCATCTTCCTCACCATCCCACATTCCTGGATCCTCATCTTCCTCACCATCCCACTTTCCTGGATCTCTGTCCCCCCCAGCCAGCCCCGGTTTTTGGATCCCCGTCCTGCCCAGCCCTTCCAGCTCCCTGGATGTGACCCTGGAGCTCTGGTGCACAGCTGGAGCAGGGGGAGCCGAGCCAAGCCCTGGGAATTCTGGTCAGGATTTGGAATCCAAACCAATCCCTGAGAATTCTGGATCAGGATTTGGAATCCAAACCAATCCTGGGAATTCTGGATCAGGAATTGGAATCCAAACCAATCCTTGGGAATTCTGGATCAGGAATTGGAATCCAAGCCAAGTCCTGGGAATTCTGGATCAGAATTTGAATCCAAGGCAATCCTTGGGAATTCTGGATCAGGAATTGGAATCCAATGCAGTCTCTGAGAATTCTGGATCAGGATTTGGAATCCAGACCAATCCTGGGAATTCTGGCTCAGGGTTTCACTCTCATCCCTTGTCTGGTAAATCCCGGCCCTTCCAGAAGGAGCCAAGGAGTGGAAATGGATTTTGAGCCTCCCGTGGATTTATCTGGGATGAATTGGCTGCGAATTCCAGAGTTTTGGATCCAGGCTCCCCTGGGGGCTCTGAACGAGCCCTTCCCTGGGATATTTGTGCTCCAGGTGCCTCCTCAGCGATGGAAAAACACAAACCTGGCGTTTCCCACGTGCCTTTGCCCCAGAGATTTAAATTTTTATTTATTATTTATTTTATTTACAAATTTTTAGATTTTCATGCCCGAGGATCCCGTCCCAGGGGGAAGGAACTGGGTGGGAATCACCAGGATATCACAGAAATCTCCTGATTTTTTTTAATTTTTATTTTTATTTTGTTTTGTTTTGTGCTGTTTTCTCCTTTCAGATGACACGAAGCTGAACCAGTTTGCAGGAGGAGAGGGTAAGAATTCCCTGGAATCCTGGAATTCCCTGGAGCTGTGGTTGGGCTGGGGGGAGGACAGGTGGAGCCCAGGGAGATCAGGATACAATTCCTGTTATCCTCACCCTGATCAGTGCAATCCCAGCCTGTGAAAAAAAAAATTTGGGAATGCTCTGTTTAATCCTGGTGCTGTTTATCCACTTTTCCCCTCACTCCTGCTCTGCCAACTCCAGCTTTTTCCTCCCTTATCATTCCCATTATTTGCAATATTTTTATGGACACAAACATCTTTTTCCTTTAAATTTTTCTGGCTGGGAATGTGAAAAACCAGCATAAAATCCAATTATAAATTATCCTTTGCCCAGCTTTGCCTTTTCCCTCCTTTTCCCTGGGAATTCTGGCTCAGCCCCAGCCTTTCCATCAACCCCAAATAATTCCAGAGGTTCTGGAAGGATCCAACCCGTTTTTCTGTGCAGAGCAGGAGGGAATTTTTGCTCCCTGCCGAGTTCAGCTTGCAGGGCTGGGCCTCTGAAATCCACATTATTCCAAATTTTAGCCAAACTTCTCCTCAAAATACCCGGGAATGTGTTAGGGCTGGAACACAATCCCAGAATGATGATATGGATTGTATAGACAGAATGATTGGAATGAGATGAATTATAAATAGAATGATTTGAATTATATAGAGAATGATTGGAATGATATGAATGATATAATGATTTGAATGATATGAATTATATAGAGAGAATTATTTGAATGATATTAATTGTATCTAGAGAATGATTTGAATTATATGAATTGTAGAGAGAATGATTTGAATGATAGGAATTATATAATTATATGAATTATATGAATTATATATCTAGAATGATTGGAATGATATGAATTATATCTAGAATTATTTGAATGATATGAATTATATCTAGAATTATTTGAATGATATGAATTATAGAGAATGATTTGAATGATATGAATCATATACATAGAATTATTTGAATGATAGGAATTTATATATAGAATTATTTGAATTATAGGAATTGTGTAGAGAGAATGATTTGAATGATATTAATTGTAGAGAGAATGACCATATATTAATTATTAAACCCATGTTGTTCTGTTGTATACATTGATCTTATCCAAGCATGAATTCTTGTCACTCTCATCAGGCTCCCCCAAAATATCCTTTCCATGATTCTCGTTGTGATTCCATCGTTTCTCATGAATTTTATTCCCATTAAACAATAATTATATTAAATTGCCAAACAATCACACCACGATTATGCAGGTGGAGCTTCACATGATCTAGAATAAATTAAAAAAAAAAAAAAAAAGCTGAATATCCGTTCCCAGGGCCTGGCTCCCTTTCCCCAGGCTGAATCCATTGGCTGCAATTCCCAGGATTTTGGGGAACATTTGAGCCCCGTGGCTGGGGAGGGGTCCCTGTGGGGTTGCCGGGGGTCTCAGCCCCATTTTTTGGGTGATGTTTTGCAGGCCCGGGGGGCAGCCCCTCCCCCCGCAGTGTCCCTGTCCCCACGGGCACCGTGGTGGCCGTCGTGGTGGCCGTGCTGCTGCTGGCCGGGATGGGCCTGGCCGGGATCTACATCAGTGGCCACCCCACGTCCAGTGCTGGCCTCTTCTTCATGGAGGTGAGAGAGGGCTCAGCCCTGCCCGGGAAATCAGCTCTTCCTCCTCATCCTCATCCTCCTCATCCTCTTCATCCTCGTCCTCCCCATCTTCTTTGTCCTCCCCTTCCTCCTCTTCCTCCTCCTCCCCATCCTCGTCGTCCTCCTTGTCCTTCTCATCCTCCTCATCCTCCCCACCCTTCTCATCCTCTTTGTCCTCCTCTTCCTCCTCGTCCTCCCACTATCTCAGATCCCTGGATCTCTGTTTTCCCCATTTTACCCCTTTATTTTCCCCATTATTATTATTTTCCCCGTCATTTTCCCCATCATAATTTTCCCACTTCTTCCTAATCTTCACCATGATTATTTCCCCTGTTATTATTTCTCCATTATCATTTCCTCCATTATCATTCCCCCCCATTCCCCCCCCATTTCGCCCCCATTTCCCCATTATCTTTCTCATCTTCCCCTTTCCCCCACTTTCCACATTTTCTCCCGTTATAATTTCCCTCATTATAATTTCCCTCATTATAATTCCCCCTTCTTCCCAATCATATTCCCCATGATTATTTTCCCCATTATTTTTTCCCCATTATTTTCCCCATTATCATTTCCCCCATAATTTCCCCATTTCCTCCATTATCTTCCCCATTTCCCTATTTTCCACATTTCCCCCATTATTATTTCATTTCCCCATTATTATTTCATTTCCCCATTATTAATTTCCCCATTATTATTTCCCCTATTATTATTTCATTTCCCCCATTATTATTTCATTTCCCCGTTATATTATTCCCCCATCATTTCCCCCATTATTATTTCATTTCCCCCATTATTATTTCCATTTCCCCATTATTATTTATTTCCCCCATTAATTATTTCCCCCATTATTATTTCCATTTCCCCATTATTATTTCCATTTCCCCCATTATTATTAATTTCCCCCATTATTATTTCCCCCATTATTATTTATTTCCCCCATTATTATTTTATTTTCCCCATTATTATTTATTTCGCCCATTATAATTTCCCCCATTATTATTTATTTCCCCCATTATTATTTATTTCCCCCATTATTATTTCATTTTCCCCATTATTAATTTCCCCATTATTATTTATTTCCCCCATTATTATTTCATTTCCCCCATTATTAATTTCCCCATTATTATCCCCCCATCATTTCCCCCATTATTATTTATTCCCCCCACCATTCCCCGATTTTTCCCGGCCGGATTTGGGCTCGGGGCCGTGTCCCAGCTCCTCACCTGTCCCTGTCCCTGTCCCCGTTTCTGTCCCCAGCGCCGCCCGCTCCGCTGGCCCGCCATGAAATTCCGGAACCGCTCCAACCGCGGCTCCTACGCCGAGGTGGAGGCGGCCAGCCAGGAAAAAGAGGGATTTGTGGAGGCTGAGCAGTGCTGAGCCAGAATCCCGAGGAAATCCCAAAGAATCCCCAGGAAAANGAAAATCCCAAAGAATCCCAAGGAAATCCCGAGGAAATCCCGAGGAATCCCAAGGAAACCTAAAAAAATCTCAAAGAATCCCAAGGAAAACCCAAGAAAATCCCAAGAAAATCCAGAGGAAATCCCAAAGAATCCCGAGGAAAATCCAAGGAAAAACCCAGTGAATCCTGAGGAATCTCAAGGCAAACCCAAGAAATCCCAAGGAGTCCGGAGGAATCCTGAAGAATCTCAAGGAATCCCAAGGAATCCCAAGGAGTCCTGAGAAATTCTAAGGAATCCCAAGGAAATCTCGGGGAATCCCAAGGAAATCTTGGGGAATCTCAAGGAATTCCCAAGGAAATCTCAAGGGAGTCCCAAGGAAATCCCAAGGAATCCTGAGAAATTCTAAAGAATCCCAAGGAAATCTCAAGGGAGTCTCAAGGAAATCCCAAGGAATCCTGAGGAAATCCCAAGGAATCCCAAAGAATCTCAAGGAATCTCGAAGGACTCTTGAAGAATCCTGAGGAAATATTGAGGAATCCCAAGGAAATCTTGAGAAAATCCCAAAGAATCCCTGTGGAATCCCAAGAAATCTCAAAGGACTCTTGGAAAATCCTGAGAAAATCCCAAGGAATCCTAAAGAATCGTGAGGAATCCTAGAGAATTGTGAGGAATCCCAAAGAATCCCAAAGAAACCTGAGGAATCCCAAGGAAATCCCAAGGAATCTTGAGAAAATCCCAAAGAATCCTGTGGAATCCCAAAGAATCACAAGGTATCCTAAAGAATCCTGAGGACTCCCAAGGAATTGTGAGGAATCCCAAGAAAACCTGAGGAATCCCAAGGAAATATCAAGGAAAACTTAAGAAATTCCAAGGAAATCTCCAGGAATCCCGAGGAATCTTGAAGGACTCTCAAAGAATCCCAAGAAATCCCAAGGAAACCCAAAGAATCACAAGGAATCCTAAAGAATCCTGAGGAAATCCCAAGGAAATCCCAAGGAAAACCTGAGGAATCCCAAGGAAATCTCAAAGAATCCCAAGGAAATCCAGAGAATCTCAAGGAATCCCAAGGAAATCTTGAGGAGTCCAGAGGAATCCCAAAGAATTCTGTGGAATCCCAAGGAGTCCCAAGGAATCTCAAAGGACTCTTGGAAAATCCTGAGAAAATCCCGAGAAATCCCAAGGAATCTCAAGGAATCCTAAAGAATCCTGAGGA